TGCAAATCGAGGTGATGATAAGTGAGGTTTTCAAGGCCTCAGAACACACAATCCGAATTGTGCTAAACGAATGAATTACAATTGAAAAATATTGATTTTAAGCATAAAACCCGAAATCAATCAAAACCCGATGGGCCCGTGTTCCGGAACTGGTCAAACTTTATACCAAAATGTTCTTTATCATTTCACGAGTCCGTACATATAAGGAACTCAAAAATCGGAGTTCGTTTGACCCCTCAAATCATCCCTAGAAAGTCTCATAATCTCAAGCCCTAACTCTTCCTTTTTCTACTGATTTTCATGAATTAAACACTGACATTTTGTTCCTTAATCACAAATAATCGAGTTCTAGGGTCCAAAATCCTTACCTCAATGAAGAACAATGATTTCCTCTCTTCAAAATCGCCTCAAAGCTCTTTCCCCGTTCAAAACTGGTGTAAAAGGGTTTAATGGTCGCTGAGGGTTTTATTTAAATACTACTCACGCATTTACTGTTCACCCGAGTACTGTTCACCCGAGTTACTGTTCACCTGAGTTATTGTTCATGCTGTTGTTAAAAAATGCAGCAGCTTTTCTTCTAGTCTAAATTGATCCGTTAACATTTCGAGATCCACCTGAGGCCCTCAGAAATCTCAACAAATATACCAACACGTCCCATAACATCATTCAAACTTAGTCGAGCCTTCGAAATACCAAAATAACATCAAAACACCAAAATCACATCAAATTCAAGCCTATGAACTTTGAAATTCTTAAATTCCACCAACGACGCCGAAACTATCCAAAACAACTCCGATTGACCTGAAATTTTGCAGACATATCCAAAATGACATTACGAACCTGTTCTAACTGTCAGAATTCCATTCCGACCCTGATAGCCTATTTTCCACTGCCGACCAGAAATCGAGAAAAACTAACTTTCTCCAATTCAAGCCTAATTCTACACCGGACATCACAAACTATTCCGGACACACTCCTAAGTCCCAAATCACCTAACGAAGCTATTTGAGTCATTAAATCTACATTCCGAGGTTGTTTACTAATAAGTCAACTCTCAGTTGACTTTTCTAACTCTAAAGCTACTTTTAGAGACTAAGTGTCTCAAACCTTACCAAAACTATTCCGGATTCGATCTGACCAACCCGGTACCACATAACACGGATAAGAAAAGCATAAAGAAACAGAAATGGGGAAAAACGGAGCGGTAACTCATGAGACGACTGACTGGGTAGTCACATTGTAGTAGGATGCTTCACTTTAGGAACAAGGCATATAAGAGTTTTATTTAGTTCTGGAGGAATGATCTTTGAATAAAAGATATCTTCATAGAAGGAAGTGACTTTGTCGCCTATATCTGACCAATTTTTTTGGTAGAAGAATGGGTGTAACCCATCTGGGCCTGGAGCCTTAAATGGTTTAAAACTGTGTAACGCAGAAATAATTTCATATTGATGTAGAGGTGAATCTATCCTAAGTAATCATTGGAAGATAGCTGACAACTGTGTGAATCCTTGCTAGTTTTGCTCGCAATCAACTGATCAGTTTCAAAAAGCTTATTGTAGTAATTAAGAATTAGGTTTTGTAGTTTAGTAGGGCTTGAAATCCAGTTGCCTACATTATCTTGTAAGGCATTTATTCTATTTCTCCGACGTCTATGAAGTGTAGACAAGTGATAGAATTTAGTATTAGCGTTCCCATCATTTAACCAATTTATTCGAGATTTCAGTTGCCAAAATTCTTCTTCCATACGCGGTATGTGACTGTATTCTAAGGTCAATTGTGTTTATAAATTTTGAAGAAACATACTAATATGATAATGGATAGAAGATTGTATCCCTGTTAGTCTAGCCAAAATCTTTTTTTTTTTGGAATATATTACCAAAAGTATTTTGGTTCCATCTTATGGCTACTGCTTTAAATTTGTTAATAGTAGATAGAAAAGGCAGCTCATCCGACCAAGTGTCAAGGACAATTTGTTGAAACTGTGGATGAGATGCCCACATAGTTTCAAATCTAAATATCTTATGTCGTATAAATTGAGGAGGTTCTAAGCTGATTAAGATCGGGCAGTGATCTGAATGAGTATGAGGTAGATGCGTCACAGTTGTTTCTGGATATAGACTTAGCCAATCATAATTAGCTAGAAAACAATCAAGCCGTTCTAATATTGTACGACCATGCCTTTGTTTATTAGTCCATGTAAAACGACTACTTTGATAACCTAAATCAATAATTTTACAGTAATGCAGGCAATTTGCAAATTTATCGACTCTATTATTTTTTATAGGTAGTCCTCCAAATTTTTCCCTAGATTCTAAAAACTCATTAAAATCGCCCCTATTAACCAGGGCATACCAGTAGTATCATGCAAATTAGTTAAGTTTTGCCAAAGAACATCACATAACTGATAATTACGACTAGCATATACTGCAGATAATATCCAAGGAGGTTTAGTGGGACAAACCTGGACCATGCAGTGTATCTCCTGCTCAGAGATCTTCATTTCCGTCACGTTAATACGATTTGCATTCCACAGTACTACTAAACCACCTATAAGACCATTTGCAGGGGCTTGTGACAAATTACCAAAATTAAAGTCTTCACGCAAACTTGTATGATCCTGCATGTGTGTTTTAAGTAAAATAGTTAGAGTTGGCCTGTGATTATCCAATAAAGACCTAAAGTGCCTTCTAAATTCTGGATTATGAGAGCCTCTACAGTTCCAAACTAGGAAATTCATATATGAATTAGGGTTTTTGAGCTGCACTATAGGAACTTGAGTCATTGGATGGACAACTTGAGATGTCATCGGATCTAGACTCATGGGAAGCGGAAGAAGCATCGGAATGATCACCATAGCATATTTCCCTAGCCAACCGAATAGCCTTACCAACAAAATCTCCCTAAACTAACGTTTTGGAATGTTTTAATAATATCATAGCATTTTAATATTAACAATTCATCACGTTTTGAGCATGTACGTTTCTCCTTCAAATCTCATTTTAACCTTCACACACATATTTTAAATTACCTAAATACCTATTTCATTAAACTAAATATCTTATATAATAAAAAAAATAAAAAAAATAGATTGTGCGAAGGAAAGCCAACGCTTCAGCCTTCAAATGCAATAGTCAAAACGCTTCACATAAGAAACAATTTGTATCTTATAAAATTAAAATAAGAAACAAAATTACATGTATCTAATTACACTTTGATTATTCATCTTCGTAAGTTGAAACAATATCCAATCATCTTGATCAAAACAAGTATCATGTGATAATCCACATGATAATTCAAAGAAACTTGAACATTATCCTTTTATGTGTAATTAATTATCTACTCAAAGTTTTATTTCTATTAACAACATTGTTTACTACAAGACTAAATATACACGTGCGTTCCGAAAAACTAGTATTACAAAAATGGGATATCAAAATCAAGGAATGAAGTGGTTGGCTTAAATTGCTACAAAATGAAAAGTATTGTTAATTTGGGGTTGAAAGTGTCTATAGAAAATGTAGTTAGTGCTCCTACACCAAACTAATTCATTTATTTATTAAAACTAGGGGTGTCCAAATCGAATCGAAAAATAGTATCAAACCGAAACTCAAACCAAATCGATTATAAAACCCGATTAGGTTTGATATTGCGCAAAAAAACCCGAACCAAACGCGACATATAAATATATAAATTATATATATATTTTTAAAACTTTATATAGAATTTTCTTTAAAAAATGTATAGAAATATTTGGGATCCTCTCATGAGATGCAATATTTAATAAAACTATGAAGTGCATTCATTTTTATATACTTTAAATAATAGTAGGTTATCACTTTCTTATCAGGTATTACTGAAACACGTCAATCATCTCTTTGTTCTTCCATATTCATACGTCAAGATTTCTTATATCATTTTTGAATTTAAAGTGATACTTCGATAATTTAAAATTAAATAAAACATATCATTATATAGGTTTCATATTGATTTTTATATTTAATTATCAAATTCGTTAACCTTAAAAACGTATATCAACAAAAAATTATTGTTTGACAACTAAGAAAATAATTGTCATGTGTTACTAAAAAATTCTCCCATAAGAATATTTTAATAAATCATATATTTGCCAATTTTTTTAATTTTTTAGTAAATATCTATTCACTTATCAAAACTTAATCTATAATTTTAATAAAGTAAGATATTATGTAACCAAAAAAATCCAAAAAATCCGACAAAACCGAAACAATCCAAACCGATGTAGTTGGTTTGGTTTTGTTTTGATAATATCCGAACCAACTCGGTCCATGTACTCCCCTAATCAAAACTACATCAAACGGTTGGGCTAAATCAACCACAAATGCTTTTAACATGTTGTGATATTGTCCGTTTTGGGTCAAGTCTGTATGATTTTTTCAAAAGGTCCGATACAATTAAAAGATCCCTACACCTCAAGTCCGTATGCAGACTCTCAATCTTTTCAGCTACCAATGTGAGACTTTATTCGTAATACAACCAATCTCCCATCGAACGAAGTTCCACGTGGTCCATGTGGCTCATCAGCACGATCCGTGGGTCATCGAACTAAGTTTCACGTAGCCCATTATCACGACTGAGCCCCACGCCATCTGCCCCTGCATACTCGTCCCGCTAAACCTAGGCTCTAATGCTAGTTGGTGGGCTAAATCTATCTAAAGATACTCTTAGCTTGGCGTGATATTGTCCGTTTTGAGTCAAGCTCGCACGATTTTCCCAAAGGCCTCATGCGATTAAAAGATCCCTATATTTTTTATGTAGATTTTCAATCTTTTCAGCTACAAATGTAAAATTTTGTTCGCACATCCCACACAAACAAATCAAACAAAAAATATTCATTTTTCAATGTTTGATGAGGTTTTACAGGTCAGTTTGAGCTATATCATGCAACCCAAACGCCCAAAATGAATTACCAAAGAATACATACCCAGTCTAGCTCCCCTCCCGTCAAGTCGAATTATATTTTCATGAGCTAAATTTAATACCCTAGTAATGAATTTTCCTTTTTGCCCCTGAATCTCCAAGTACGGCAAGGCTCTAGTCCACAAACTGCATAGCTTCAAAGAAATTAAAATAGATAGTCATCCACGCTCATTCGTGTAGAAAAGTCAATCTTGGACAATAAGTGATTAGCATCAAACAGAATGCAAATTGATGCTTAGTAAATCTCTAGTAAGAGTTTTAGAAATGTCCATCTTTACATCTCTCTTATTTTTCTTGGTATTTTGCCCATTGTTAAGTTTAGGAGACAGACTAGAGGGTTGTGAGGATTCTTGGTGCAAAAATGATGGCCCTATAATTCATTTTCCATTCAGGCTCAGAAATCAACCAAAACATTGTGGCTATCCTGGTTTTGAACTACAGTGTAACAATCAAAAGGACACCATCCTCGAGCTTCCCTTTTCTGTTCACTTCATTGTTGAAGAAATTGATTATATCTCGCAGCAAATTCACCTTTATGATCCTAACGAGTGCATAATAGCCAAGCTATCAAAACTTAATTTATCACAATCTAATTTCAAAAATGTCGAAGATCCCACAGCCCTATTCAATTGTTCTGTACCATATGATTACGGTATCGTAGTTCCTTGTCTTGGTTCTTCTGGATACCAAGTTTATGCTGTTTCTCCGACCATTATCCTCCACCTATTCTTGACTGGGCCTTGTACAAAAATTCATCAGTACCCATACTCACAGTCAACATTTCTTGAGAACAGGCTGCAGCTGAATTGGCCTGTACCACTCTGTGGAAACTGTGAGTCCAATGGAATGGATTGTGGTTTCATGGATAGAACTAAGCTATTGGAAACTCATTGTTTCAATCGAACTATGACCCAAAAAGGTACTCTATTTATGTCTTATATTTTTTTTAATTTTTTTTTATATGGATAACCAAGCACTTAACAAAGACTTATCATTTTGTCCATAATATATAGGTATTACTAAACAGCCCTTAGTTGCAGGTTAGTTTTCTCAAATCCTTCAAAGTTCTCACTCTGTCAATTTCCTTTCATACTTATGACATATTAGTTATTAAATTTTGTAGGTGTCATTTTAGGTGCAGCTCTTGTTTGCATTATTATTTTCTCATTTCATCAGCTATATTTGTCAAGTAAAAATGAAAAAGATAGTCGAGTTAGGCTTGAAAAGTTTTTGGAAGATTACAAGGCCATAAGACCAACAAGATATTCTTATGCTGATATTAAGAAGATAACAGATGGTTTCAATGAAAAGTTAGGAGAAGGAAGTTATGGAACTGTTTACAAAGGCAAACTTTCCAGGGAAATCTATGTTGCTGTAAAAGTCCTACGCGATTCCAAGGGTAAAGGGGAAGAATTTATCAATGAAATCGGAACAATTGGGAGAATCCACCATGTTAACGTGGTTCGCTTGGTTGGTTTTTGTGCTGATGGATTCAGACGAGCTTTGATCTATGAATACCTACCAAATGATTCACTTGAAAGATTCATTTTGCCAATGAGCTCGAGCACGAATAGTGTTTCAGTCATCAGCTGGAATAAGCTTCAACATATCGCTCTTGGTACTGCTAGAGGGATTGAATATCTTCACCAGGGATGTAATCAGCAGATTCTTCATTTCGATATTAAACCACAAAACATCCTTTCAGACCATAATTTGAACCCAAAAATTTGCGATTTTGGCCTAGCTAAACTGTGCTCGAAAGAAAAAAGTGCAGTCACAATGACAGCTGCTAGGGGAACCATAGGCTACATTGCACCAGAAGTGTTATCAAGAAACTTTGGTAAGGTTTCTCATAAATCTGATATTTATAGTTTCGGAATGCTCTTGTTAGAAATGGTTGGAGGGAGGATAAAGTCGAATTCTAAGACGAATAATCACAACAAAATAAGTTCTTTGGAATGGATATATGGAGATTTGGAGAAGGGGGAAGAATTGAAGATTCGGATAGAGGAAGAAGGAGATGGTACAATTGTGAGAAAGTTAGCCATTGTTGGACTTTGGTGTATTCAGTGGCATCCAAATGATAGGCCTTCAATAAAAGAAGTCGTTCAGATGCTAGAAGGAGATGGGAGCCATCTCAACTTGTCCCCAAATCCTTTTATGGCTACTAATATGCCTAATTTTAATGCAAGTCCTCATGAAGAAGATCTAGACGTTATATTAGAAATTGAATAACACTTCAAAGTTGATTGTACAATGAAAAAAGAAAAGGAAATAATATAAAGGTTGCAAAATTATGTTGTTTCGTAGTAGTGATCAACAAGCTGAATGATAAAACTTAGGATCATTTCTCGATTTTTGTGTGTTATTATTAGATCCTAGCGTTGAAACCATATTAATTTTTTCAATTTTATCAGATTTCCACAAAAGGGAAAGCAATAATTAAGCTGAATCCTCCGTGAAAAGGAGCTACCGAGGCAATAGTCGTTATGCTTTCAACGGCACAAGTAAGATCTCATAATTGTAGAACTGCTTACAACTGGGTAGCTACAAAGAGACCTCTAGATTGAATAGTTTTACCCTGCTGTATGCAACCTTAATTAATAACTGCAAGAATAATATCCACTAAAAAGGGCGGTGCACTAAGCTTCCGATATGCACGGAGTCGGAGTAAGGGTCAGAGCACAAGAATAATATCCACTACTTCATTAAAATCAATCTTGTCCTTAAAAGAGAGTTTAAGGCTCAAGTTATTTGGTAGCCTAAAGCCAAAATTTTATTAGAGGCTTTAATATTTTATTATAAAAGTTTTATACATTATTTGAAGTTTATTTTTCTCGTATTTTTAGATGCAAAGCTTTTATATATTTTATTATTTCCTTTCCTGTATGCACTTACCATAAATTTAGTGACATATTCATATTCTAAAGAGCACTCTCAAATTTCTCAATTTATTTTTATTATCGATTAAAAATTTATCAAGAGCTCCATTATAAGGTTGTATTAAATTTTAAGTCTTTTCCTTTTTATGAGTTTTGAGTAATTACCTGATCCATATTTTCTAGTTGACATATTTATAATTAATCATAAAAAAAGCAATATAGACTTAACCAGGAACATCGGGATGCTAGCTGAGCTTTTCATAGGTAAGCTCTTGACCCTTTAGCAAGCTGAATTAATTGGCCGGACGCGAATTAGCATTCCATAAATCTTAATTTGTGAAAATAATCATGCTTTTGAATGGCCTCTCTGGCATTTATACGCATCTAACACAAGTGAGCACAACACAAATATTAAGAAATCGAACAATTCGAATATTATATTGTTATAGTAAAGTTGTTTATAGCAATCATATTTTTTTTTTTTGAAGGCAGCAATCTTAACTTGTGAACATAAATTTCTTCAAATACCTGATATTTCAAAATAGTTGTAAGTCTAATAACAATATTCGTGAAAATACTTGTCTTCAAATCTGAAAAAAGGGGAAAATGGCCAAATATATTCCTAAAGTATTTGAAATAGAGCACATTTACCCTCCGTTAGTGTAGTGGACTATTACTACCCTTGTTGTTACTCAAATAGTCAGGATTTGCCCTTTTCACCTAACGGAAGTGAATGAACTAATTTTAAATTTATTTTCCTAATTTTTTATTTTAAAAAAGTTAAGTGTATTTAATTAAAAGAAAAAGGGCCAAATATATCCTTGACTATTTGATATAAATCAAATATACCTTTTGTTAATTAACCTTAAGTGCTCGTTTTGGTATGAATGATAAGGGATAATTAATCCCAAGATTAAATTTGAGATGAGTTTATCCCATATTTGATTGGGATAAAATCGTGGTATAACTAATCTCAGGATCAGTTATCCTGGAACTGACAAGCTACTGCTACATCTATTTCATTAGGAATTGATGATCTTTTAACAATACCTTCTAAGGAATGCTAATTCAAGATGCTCATCAACAAAGTTTGATTTTGGAAAAATACCATCATTATGGGAATGTACACACTGTAGAAAAATAACGTCAATCCATTAAAATATGTTATGCTACAAGTGAATATTTGCGGCAAGAAATGAATCCTAATTTTAGGATGACTGACCTTTTAATCCAGTTCATATAATATGATCCATTGGCAAAAAGAGGGCCTTCATCTTTGTTGCTTGAAGCTCTATTAAAGAAGCATTCTATTACGTAAAAGAATTATGTTCGCACGTAAAAGAGCGAGTTGAGACTTATCGCCTAACAAGCTCAAGTTTAAACGCGTCGCACCATGACTAGTTTATTGACTTCAGCTAGCGACTGAATTCAAAATAAACTATAAAACTATTTGGTCAAAATACGTCTTACACTCTTAATAGATAAATTTATAACTGGTAATTAAAAAATTATCGTAGTTTCAAAAGTAATTGAAATTAACTCACATTTTCATGTAAAGATAAAATCTGAATAAAAACATCCGTAAAATCCGAAAAAAATCCAGCATAATATGTTGGAGTTCCAATTTTTTACATATTAGATTCCAGTTTAATGTGTTGGAATTCCAATATAATATGTTGGAAGTTTATAGACTGTTACATACTTGACAGGTGTGTCAAAGGAATTTGACCTCAAGTTCAAAGAGTGAACAATGTATTCTACCATGAATTAAGGAAGAAAATGAGAAAATTATTTTTTTACATGACCAGGACTCGGGGTTTCGTCTAACTGTTTCACGATTTCCAAATCCGTTGTATACGGTAAAATCATGTATCCCCAATCTTGAGGGCTCGAGGGCTCACATCGAGGAACATAGGGTTCGCATCGAGGGATAAAATCAGTATGGACCGGGTTCGAGTTCGAGGGCAGAACATAAAGATCGAAGATCGAAGTGCATGATGAGTTACCGAATCCAAGTATGACTGACCTTGAGATGGAGCCATTATGAGTTTGTAACAGAATGATCAAGATTCCTGCCACGTCCCCAAGATCATGGCGTAAATTCCGGAATAGATTTGTACGAGTTGGTACTAATCCGTACTAGGCGATTAGACAACTATCCCAATAAGATTCTTTATTATAAATAGAAATGCACCTTATTTAGGGTTCCCCTATTATATAAAGAGGACCCCAATCATTTGTAAACATCATCAATCATTGACAAATAATATACTCTCTTACTTTTTGGCTCATATTTCATCAGAATCGTCCCTTTACTTAATTGTTTCTTGCTTTACTGTTCTTAACCAACCTTAAGGCCACCTTAGCTCGAGGTCGAGACTGTCTTGCACACTAGTTTGATTTACTTATTTCTTTCATTTATACTTTATACTTCATGGTTATTAGTTAGTATTGAACTAAATCACATATCTTTAAAATCATAGATCAAATTTAATTCTTACTCGTATTTTCGAGGTAAAAAGTTTAGCGCCCACCGTGGGGCTAAAGATAATAGTGATTATTTCAGTACTGATTCTGATAACATACGTTATTTTTACACTTGATCTTGTCAAGAATTTTTGTTCTTAGGATTAAAATATGTCAAACTCGCAAAATGCACCCATACACAGCGATGAGGGTCTTAGACTTCACAGTGAAAACAACAATGTAATCGCTCTGGGAGCCGGTGTACCACCGATAAACCCTGGAGATGTGTCAAATATTGAGCCAGTTGATGTTAGCTCTCACATTGCTCTGATTGCGGATTTAGGCGCAGACCCCGGAGGAAGTGTACGTAGGGAAGCCCGATCTGGTGGCCAAGGAATACAAGGTATAAGAGATGGGGGAGTCAGCCTTCAAGTAATATTCGAAATGCTACAAGCTCCACAGGTTGCTATCGCTCAGCTTCAAAGTAAGCACAAAACTCCAAGTATAGTCGAACCAGAAAACACTCAACGTACTGAACTGATACCGGAAAGATCAAACGGTAGTGGCTCGGGGACTGATCCCACAATTATGAGGATGCTCGAGCACCAAGAGAATCGAGTACGGGGAAAAGAAGATTGAGGATAATGACAAAAAAGTAGAGACTTATAACTCCCGTGTTGATCAAATACCGGGGGCACCCCCGGTCTTGAAAGGTTTGGATGCCAAAAAGTTTATATAAAAGTCGTTCCCTCCGAATGCGGCTTCGAAGCCCATTCCTAAAAAGTTTTGCATACCCGATATACCTAAATACAACGGAACAACCGATCCTAATGGACATATTACCTCATACACTTGCGGGATTAAAGGAAATGACTTGAATGATGATGAGATCGAATCAGTAGTGTTGAAAAAATTTAGGGAAACTTTTATACCTAAATACAACGGAACAACCGATCCTAATGAACATATTACCTCATACACTTGTGGGATTAAAGGAAATGACTTGAATGATGATGAGATCGAATCAGTAGTGTTGAAAAAATTTAGGGAAACTTTGTCAAAGGGAGCCTTGATTTGGTATCACAACTTGCTTCCGAACTCTATCGATTCATTTTCCATGTTAGCAGATGCCTTCGTGAAAGCACATGCCGAGGCCATAAAGGCGGCGACAAGGAAATTAGACGTTTTAAGATAATACATAGGAATGATGAGATGTTAAGGGAGTTCGTATCCCGGTTTCAAATGGAGCGAAATGAATTACCACCGGTCTCGGATGACTGGGTAGCATAGGCTTTAGTGCAGGGTTTGAACGAGTGGAGTTCGATCGCATCATGACAATTAAAGGAGACAACTGCAAAAAAAGGCAAAGGCATTACTAAAGGCAGCAACATATTATAAGAAGATACTGAGAAAAGGGACTTCATTTACGCTTGAAATTCCACTTCTCCGGGAATGACATTTTTCCCCTAGGGATGATGTCTGAGGTCCTCACTCAGACAAACCGGCTCATCTAGCATCGATCCTTATCCTCGTCGTTACTAGCAAAGAAGGCTTTGCTTGATTGACGTTGAAGCTTGATCAACCCTCAAAAAAGCTGAGGAAGATACAACTGAATAAGGTGGTTGAAGGTAAACTCTAATCCCTCAGCCCTACTAGAGAAGTAGCGTAGCATGATCACGATACGCCAGAAAGAGGGATGGATCTGGACGAGGGTAATTTCATATCTCTTGCAGAAATCAATCATTACTGGATCGAGGGGACCCAATGTGAAGGGGTAAGTGTAAACACTTAAGAACCCCTCCACGTGAGTAGTGATGCTCTCCTCAGGGTCGGTGATCTGTACCACGACCTCGTCTCCCCAGCCACAGTCCTTCTTCATGGATTTGAGATGCTTCTTCGATATTGAACTAATACATCGAGATACATGTTCGCATCGGCCTGGGATATTGGGGGAATTTTTAATGTTAAAATCTTTCTTTATCACACAGGGGTCGGGAATGATCTCGT